GTATGTAACATATTGATGGAACTGTCAATACGAAGGAATGAGAAAATAAGATTCAAAGTAAGATTGATCTGATGACGCAGTGAAAAGGTTAGGATGCTAATAAAACCTCTTCTGGCGTCCAAAATTCATAATATTTAATCAAAAGCTTGTAGTATATTGTTCTCATTTCACATTCATTCTCTTTTTAAAGTCCCACTGCTGGGCATAAGCGAGATAATATTTTTATCACAAACTAGCATTGCCCGCGGCTCCGCCCGCGTTCAGATGACCAAAAACCAAATTCTTGGGTTTTTCATATTAGTATACTCTTACATTGTAGTTTTTGTATTTTTTCTCAGAAATGAGACATTTTCCCGCGGTAAGAAGTATCCTGTATGTTCACTCGATGGGTGAAAAATACTATAATACTAAGCTTTACGAATTTACATAGCTACCAGGTATACAAAAAAATCCATTAGAATCGGTCCGTGACACGAAATATTAATTTATATATATATATATATATATATATACTAGCGACTCAACCTCGCTCCGTTCGGGTTCGTCCCTAGAGTGGATCACTCTTATCACTTTACAAATTAAAAATACACACACAAAACAACATAAACACACATAAAACCACACACACATAACAACACACACACACATAACAATATACACACAAAATTTCATAACTATCGGTCAAGCAGTTTAGGAGGTGTTTTGTTACAAATTCTATGACACAAGAATTTTATACATTAGATTAAATTTAAAAAAAAAACATTTTTTTTATTTTTTTCTTCTTTTATATTGTTTCTGGCAGTTTAATATAAGTTTTAGTGTGTGAATATTGAAATCGATATGAAAACAAACTAGATTGATAGGTACATTAGCGTTTTAGTATGTGATATAAGGCCTTGGGAGATTACTTATTGACATGTAAAAGGTTTCTGTTATGTCGATTTCTATGCTGAAAATCTCTTGAATGTTTTTTTTATCAAAATTCTTCATTTTGTACTAAGTTCATATGGATGGGATTATATAATATACTTTTTTTTCGCAATATATTTTATTTATATATTTTTATTTTTTATATATTTTTTTAATTAGTTATAAATTAGGAGTTAGTACTATTATGAACATTATCTATACTAATATTATAAATTTTAAGAAAGTTTGTGAGTATGGATGTTTGTTACTCTTTCACGCCAGAACGGAATTTGGCTCAGAGATAGATTATAGCCTGGATTAATACATAGGCTACTTTTTGTTCCGTCAAAATGTACAGTTCATGTGTATTGTTCATATATATATATATATATATATATATATATATATATATATATATATATATATATATATATATACTATATGGGACATTTAGCAAATATCAACCGGACTTGTCAAGCAAAGCTAATGACTTTTAAAGCCAATTCAGGGTGATTGCTATTATTAATAGTAATTAATTGTTTTTTTCTGCAAACGTATGAAAATTTATGCTATGAGTATTTCCTGTTTCTCAGTCGGTAATCGAATGCATTAAAACCATCAGGCATAATGCCGTATGAAACAAGTCTTGGTGGCTTTTAAAAACATTAAAAGAAGATATTAGTTTAGTATTAGTTAATGTTTAAGCTCAAATAAAACGTAATGTGATAGTTCAAGCGCTACCTTAACTTAGTTTATAATTTAATTTAATTGTAACACGTGTTAGCTTTGCCTCGACTTATTGTTCTGGACTCTTTACCTAGCCAATAAAATGGGTATTATTTGGCAAAATAAACCTTAATACGTTATAAAGAAATATTTTAACGTACCTACATCCTAAGTTATAATCGTATATTTATAGAATATCATTTAAAGAAAGAATATAATATTATATGTTTGTTGTCATGGTAACCGTTGTTATAGTCTGACAAATGTGTCAGGCTATAACAACGGTTACCATGACAACAATCAGTAGAACATAGTAATTTTTTACAGTAAAGGCTTGTACAATTCAATTCCATACAGTTGGGTGAAGTTATACGCCTTGATAGGTTATAAATATAATCTGTATTAAGGAGTAACAGTCCCGTTCCCCTTTGGATATATAACAATATATTTATGTACCAATACGTTTTCATATACTAGTATATTATTATGTGATCTGTGGTATATAATTTGCTGCTTGTGCTATATACGTTAAAACAATAAACACCAGAATTTTAATAAAAATGTTGCTTAAAGACTTTACAAGGTGTTTTTTCAATAGTATTTCGAAATTCAATTAGTTTGGATAAAACATATTAAGCTATACATTTAAAAATAACATCATAAAAAGAAATTTCATACAATATCCTAACATCTGTAACATAGTCGTTTAGTCGTCCATAATATGAGAGCCGTTGCTAATAATAAAATAAGACGTCCGTCAATTTATCACTCCGAAATCCCCTATAATGGCAAGATCTTTCATTATATGCCATCCGTTGTCAAATATTGAGTTTTTAAACAAATTTATTGCCATCATGACTTTCACCCAACTTTTCTTTTAGAGTGGCTTTTTGTAATAAATTGTTAACCTCTTTAGTTATGCTTTATACATTTTTTTTGTTTTATTATATACTAGCGATTTGCCCTCGCTTCGCTCTAGGGTGTCCCTAGTGTAAGGTTGCATTTTTATATGATGTTCTCCCGACCGATTCCGGCCACGGCGGCCAATCTCATTGAGACTAGCCAACTGCGCAGGAGATATTATAGTGCACAATTAGTGTACGCGCAAACACAAGTGCACTCTCTATTCCTGTCACTCTCATACTCCGGTGGGACGACTGCTCGACACGACCGTTGAGAGTTAAGGCGCAGGATCGACGGCTTTACGTGCTCTCCGAGGCACGGGGGTGAAACACCGCTAACTTCCCAACTCCGGGCTGTTACTGAGACTTAGTATACAGAAAGACTCAATAACTAAACTTGGCCCGACCCGGGACCCGAACCCAGGACCTCTGGGTGTGCAGCAGTACATGCTAGCCACTACACCACCGATGCAGTTAAAATTTTTATATATCGAGTGTTTTAATAGAAAATAATATATTTGATTAATTTGTAATGATTTATGTATAAGGCATTTACTTATGTGACCTTGGCCGATAGGAATGTGTTTAAAAAAAAAAGAACGGCGCGAATATTCATTTGTTTTCCCGCGTTTTTTTGCAGAGATGTCGGTACCACCATGTAGTGACTAGGCACGAATTGTTTGTAATAATGAAAATTATGATTATAAATTATGTAACTGACGATTATAAAAGTACTGAATATAAGAATATAAGCAAGGAATATCTCGAAGTTTTATTAGAGACCCAACACTAGGTACGTTTTAATGTTTTTGAGCCAACTCTAATACTTAAAAAAAATAAAAGTAGCAAAGTTACTTCTTATAACACCAGCTATCTGCTAGTAAAAGTTCCGTTATCCGTTTTCGTAAATTTTAAATTTTCCGATACCTATTTGCAGCCAATGTTCTTATAAGGTCTATGTATAGTCTGTGTAGATAAATAAAATTAAAATGTATGTTTGTGAAGTCAAAATGACAGCTTGTTACTTAAAAGAAAAACACAATTTTATTATTTTTTTATTTATCTGTCTGTTTGTATCGGCTAATCTCCAAAACGACTGGAGTGATTTGGACAGGACTTTCACTGGCAGATATATAAGGAGTAACTTAAGTTACTTTTATTTTAGAAAAAGAATTAATAAGCGTTCCGCTCAAAAAAATTAAAACGTACATAGAAACACGCCTCAGCGAAGCGAGAGTAAGTCGCTAGATTGCATATATGACTCAAAATTCTGTGACAGACAAGGACCTGAGTAATATTAAAAAAAATCCCTTATTCATTTACATAATAAAAAAATGCTTTTTCTCACATTTTATTACATTTTTAAACAATATCTACAATACAAATCTTAAAAGTATTGTAAAATAAAACAACATTCATTAACAAATCATTTTATTGAAACTTCAAAACCATACAAAATGTATTCCATAACGTCAATAGAAAGTCGTGGTGATAAAATATTTAGACAATAAAAGCTGACGTTATCATTATTATTATACCCTTATATTACACGTGAATATATCGACAAAATCATTTAAATTCAGCCATAAATAGGCGTGAATAAGAGAACAAACAATACATCAAAAATGTGGGTAAAATAAAAAATAATTTTAATATTATTATCATTCAATTTTTTAAATTTTATTTAAAAATGATAGTGTCATTATCAATTTATTCACGCGATTCTATACTATTAAATCTAACATTTGGCAATAGCTTTTGGTGTTGATTAAATCTGACTAGAAAGAATTACATTAAAGAATTTTTCATATTGATTAACTCGAGGGCACGGCAGCGCGTGAGCCAAGCTTCAGAAGTTATATTAGTTTTATATAATAAAAGACAATATATAAGATAATTCCAATAATGTATATATAAATGCTTTAGATACAATAAAATAGCTGTGTTAATGTAAATATTTTGTAAATTAAGAAAGGAAATTGTAAAATAAAGTAACTAGCAGAAACAAAACTTTTTCTAAAAAAAATCATATTTCAGGAAATAGTAAAAAGAGTTGAAAAATTAAACAGTTTTAATTTTATAACTTAATAAAACAAAGTTTAAAAAGCATGAAATTTTAAAGTAGCATTTATTATTGATATTGTGATTACAAATACATAGTATTTATTTTTATTTGATTATATAAATAATTTGGTATGAATATTAAAGCCTTTGCAACAGCGAAATTGTATTAAAAATTATTAAGTTTAGAAAATAATGAGAAGGATATAGGAAATGAAAATGAAAGATGAAATATCAACAACAAGAACAGCACAAGAAGTAATTAAGGTTTCCGCCTTTTTTAAATCTATTAGTTTATAATAGTAATAGACTTGGCTTTTTAGAAGGTCTATGACCGATTTTATATTATATAATATGTACGTACATATATACAAGCACATTGTATACTTAGCAACATATTCAGGTTTGATATGATATTCTCGATGATGATGTCTGTAAGTCTGGAAGAGAAAATAAGAACATTTTAAACCACTTTATACTCCGTATTTAACCATAAAATAAAAAAATCTTTGTATATTCACGGGAATTATAATAATAATTATATTTATGTAAAAAAATTACACTGACTTCAAATGTTATGCTACCCTGATTTGTTATTAATTTATTTTCGAATTAATTATTTGTACCTTAATATCCATTTAAAAAGAGGATTGAGATAGTCGATTAGCAACTAGCGAAAGCATCGCGTAACAAATTAAAATATTAAGACAATTTGATAACTCATTTTGTTGAAGTCGGTTATGAAACAATACGCATTTATATAGCATAAAAGCATAGCATTGCCCACTGCTCTGCCCGCATTCAGATGACCAAAAACAAAATTCTTAGGTTTTACATATTAGAATACTCTTACATTGCAGTTTTTGTACTTTTTCTCAGAAATGAGACATTTTCCCGCGGTAAAAAGTATCCTATATGTTGACCCGGATTTTTAATTTTCTGATTTGAATAATTTTAAAAACGAAATTTCATCAAAATCCCTCCAAAAATTCTAAAAACTATAGAATCACCCTCTGTTTCGATAATAATGTTTATTTCTATAAGATTTTCCAAAAAATATTTAATGTACAGATTCGGCTTAGTTACAATTTTATTATATGTATACATTAAGCATATGTATGGCTTTGAGCAATATACAAATCTAAAGACATCGCATGTGAAGCCAACACACTGTAAACCTTGGATATAATATACATTTCTGTAATAAAATATTCTCATATGCTTTGAGTGTTCAAAGTAGTTATTTAAATAGCTTTTATCTCTTGCATTTTTAATAATTCATATCTAACTTCAAGTTAAACTTTGTACGAGCTTCAAACTAACAACTTCAAGCGTCTGTTTTAATGTGAATGTTAGAGTAATTTAATACATTATAATATACTACAGTAATGGATTAAATTTTACTTCACATGAAAGCATAATTTTTATAATATATAAAAATTTACATAAAATATATACTTGTTACTAATGTGTGTATGTTAAACTATACACCCCATTGCTATGGAACTTGTCGATTTGCACACTTCCGCAATGATTTTAGATATAGGTACAACCAACGCATAAAATGTGTATATAAATAATATTTTTATCACTAAATATATCTTTTTCATAAATAATCCTTTTTTTATTTTAGTCTAGCAATTATCTTACGGCCTTACAATATCTATATCTAACTTAACTAATACTCTATGTATTAAAAAAATACAAAAATAATATTTATAAACAATAAATACCTTTAAAAAACCTGTACTCTGTGGTTCTCTCGATCGCATACGATAATATTCCCACCGGACATAACAGCGATGCCTTCTAGGCCTTTGAACTCTCCGTCTCCACAGCCCCAAGAACCAAATGCTCTGAGAAAAGTGCCATCAGGGTGAAAGATCTGTATCCTGTTGTTGCCTGAATCAGCTACTACTATATATCCTTGGTCGTCGACAGCAACTCCCCTAGAAAAAAAAATATTTTATATTTTTTGTTTTATGGATAATTATTGTGTTTATTATGTGATTTATTTAATTTATGAGTATATAATAGAATAAATATATGATTCTATAATCATAGTTGAGTTCCACAATTTTATATATTTTAGGTATGTATACCAGTTAGACAATTTAGAAAAAAAATATTAAGAAAAATGGAACTGATATAACTTCGTTAACATGTAACAATATTCCTGTGTTTTTTTTAATGAACAGGCCGTTTTAATTTGGTATTATAATAAAAAATTCAACAAAACAAGGGCGAAATTCTATCGTAGGGGTTGAGTATTTAGTTATATATATAAAAATGCTTTTTAACTCGTATCGTTTAAAATATAACAATTTTATTATTAAACTAGTATTTTTTCTGTCTATCTGTCTGTGTTTTCCGGCTAATCTCCAAAGCAACTGGACCGATTTTAACTGGACTTTCACTGGCAGATAGCTGATTTTATAAGGAGTAACTTAAGCTACTTTTTGTTAAGAAAAAGGATTAGGGTTTCACCGAAAAACAATAAAAACCAATGAAATTGTTAATAAAGTACTTAGGGATGCATCTGACCGAAGCGAGGTTAAACCGCTAGTAATAAGAAACATATAGTTTTATCTTAAAAGCTAAGCTAAGCGGTAACTTAAATTTATTCTACGTCCACTGTTTAAATGTCTGCGAAGTAATATAATATAACAACATACACTGCCTTACAAATCTGAAGTATCTATGATTAGTTAAATACCATACAGAGTTAGACAAAGGGTAATCGATTATGCGTTAGTTAAATGGCAATCACGATATAGTTAACAGCCTGTGATCCCCAAACTGTAATCCTATTATCGTCCCTTGCGAGTTATAAGCTCTTCAAAGATAGTTTTATGACGATAAACTAAACAATAATGAGGGAGAAATCAAAGCATATGTGTAATGGATTATCTATTTAAATTATGGCAAAAGTGACGTCAGATGGAGTATTACAATATATGTCTGTCTGTCTGGCTGTATGTTATGTAAAAAGTTGAGAAAAATATAGGAGGTAACATTTATGTTTTTGAAACTTAAATTTTCAGTATAATTGGTGAAGTAATTTTAGATTGAAATTATGGAAATATTAGTGTTTATGACGATATCAATATTAAAAGCCAAATAATTAAATTAATATAATAGGCCGTGATAATTTATAAAGACATTTGTATGTTTGAATCAATTACAAGAAAAAAATTGATCAAAATTGATAACAGATATGCCATTATTATCTAAGTAATGAGTTTTCATAGGATACTACTTTAATTTTAATATAATATTTCACCATTTTAGTTCTAAGCCTATATAGATGGCGGATATAGATGGCGTTGATTAAAATGAAAATATTTTTTAAATATAGCAGGCTAAACTAAATTAATAACCATAGAGGGTACTAATACTATACAAAACAAGTAACAAACCTTGGGAATTTGAACTGGCCATCCTCGGAACCTTCTTCTCCAAATGAAGATAATTCACGTCCATTAACATCGAATACTTGTATCCTGTGGTTGTTCGAGTCGGAGACTAGGACGCGGTTGGTGCTAGATACTGCTATGTAATGTGGATGCTCTAACTGACCCTGCTTAGATCCAAAACTGCCAAATTTACCCACAAACGTGCCATCGGATTGGAATACCTGAAAAAAAAATCCCATAAATATTTTAAGTTTTGGGTGGCTGTTTGTTACTCAGTTACACCAGAACGGCTGAACAGATCTAGATGAAATTTTGCACAGAGATAGATTATAGTCTTGTATAGCATAGGTCAAATCCCAGAAAAATGTACGGTTCCCGTGGGATAGATTCGTCTTTGTTTTTGACAGAGTAAGGTATTGACTATCTATTCCACACTAATCGTTAAAACGTACCTAGAGATGAACCCGAGCGAGACGAGGGTGAGTCACTAGTGTAATAATAAATTATTGCGAACGATAAGAAAGAATAGGTTGTGATTAAAATGCATTATTCGGTGTCCAATCGACTTTACGACAGAATTCGTATAAATTATTGTATTCCTTTTCATGCTATATTATATTCGCTATCGAATATATTTCTCTAGTTATTGAATATCTTATATTTTTATGTGCGAATCGTTTTCAACATGATATTCACTTGGTGTTTTACCTCTACAGTCTATTAAATTTCATAAAAATTGGTATTTTTGAAAACCCTCGGATTTCACAGCATTGCTGTTAAACTCAATGAGCGATTGCCTACTGTGTTGATGTTTTTACTGTGATAGCACAAGTATAGTAAAAATTGCAGAGGAAATAAATGAGTGAAAGAACAAAATCGAGGTGGGCTATGACCAAATCCACCTCGAGAGAGATGATGCACATGCCCACTACATTGAAATTTGGATGTTGAAAGGGCCCAACTATTGTTAATCCTCTTGGTTGGGTTAAAACTAGGCAGAAGCTGATGTAAATAATTTATAGTAATATATGATTGACATCCGGAACATAACCAAGTATTAATGTTTCCACATTGGCTTATAAATAAAGTTGGTTTTGGTGTTTGTTCAATATTCCACAACCGCAGTCGTAAATTTTATTGGTATAATTAAATAATTTATCTTGATATATTGTTATTACTTATAAATGTAATATATAAAATAAATATAAATATATAATTTGGTGTTATACATTTGTTTATAGAACGTTCCGTGAAGGTTTTAATGAAAAACTACAGAGTAATAAATTAAACTCAGTAAAAATGTATTGAAAAGATTTAGTTCTTATATTATACTACCTATTTTAATAGGTAGGGAAAATGTTGGTTCATATAAGTAATAACAACTCACGTAAAACTTAGTGTTATTAGAATGCAAAATTAAAAATAATAATGATAATAACTGTTCAAAGGACCGGAAATGTGAAACCCTTCGAACTAAAAAAATAATTAAAAGTGTGAAATCTTTAGTGTGCGAGTTCGATTTGGACCGATTTTATACCTACTTATAGAAAATCGCTCGACTATTAGGTCTTTTTCAAACAAAACTAAAAAAACACATGTATGTATGTATTCAGCCCTTTTTAACTACCTACTGCTGAACACGGGTATCCCTTCAATGTAGAGGGATCAGACCAAAGTCCACCATGCTGGCTAAGTGCGGGTTGTCGGACTTCAAGTCTTTTGAAACTTGCTAGGTTCTTTCAGACATGCAGGCTTGCGTTACGATGTTTTCCTTCACCGAAAGACAACTGGTAATCATGTTGGAAATGATTCGCACATGAAAATATCAGAGGAGAGAGACCCGGGATTTGAACCTGCTTCACTCGGATTCTCAACCGAGCTTTACAACTGGATTACCACTGCCTTGAACACATGAGTTACAGAAAACCAATTAAAATGTTGAAATTAACTATATTTTGTCAATCCAAAAGCAATGTCACATATATAACAATTTTATTAAACAAATATTTAGAATCTTTATGCATATAACTGACCTGCACTCTATGGTTTTCCTTGTCACAGACATAGATAAATCCGAGGGCATCAGTTGTGATACCCCACGGGTAGTTGAACTTCCCGTCTCCTGTACCCTGGCTGCCGAAAGATCTCAGGAAGCGGCCAGCTGGGTCAAACACCTGGAATATAAGATAAATATTACTACCACTCTTCACCCAGTGGCCGAAATTCTAACAGACTCATTTTTTTTATATATATACTAAAGCTCTTGTATAAACTAAACAAAATGAAATAAAATCGGTTTATCAACCGATCAGAGGAAAAAAATATACTGAATAGTTTTATCTTTGCCTATTTTTATGTATATAGATTCTATGGCAGATTCATGATCTGTACATAGATGTACGGTTATAAATCTGGAGATCTTGAGTTCAAGTCTTAGATGGGGCAAGCTAATTCAATAGCTATTTAATAAATTAATCTGCTAAGAGATTTTCAGTTGTAATTTAGATTTGTGAAATTGGTGGTTGAAGGAGTGTCTTGAGAGCACGTGAAGCCATTGCTTAATCTCTCACAGGTATAGAAATGATATATCAAAGTGTCAAAAAACAATGTGTCATTTCTAGATATTACTTAGTTATTAGCAACTAGCGATTCACCCTCGCTTCGCTCGGGTTCGTCCCTTGATACGTTTTAACGATTAGTATGGAATAGATAGACGATATAATAGTACATAGATGTATATACATAGGTATAATGAGTTATATATCCCTTATTTGAGAAATGATTGATTCTCTATACAAATTTTCGTTCCCTTTTCACCCCTTTAAGGTTTAATTTTCGGGATAGAAACTATCCTATATCCTTTCCAGGGTCTCAAACTATCTTTATACCAAATTTCATGTAAATCGGTTCAGCGGATTTTTACTTTATCCATTACAAACAAATTCACAAACTTACAAACTTTGCCTCTTTAAAAGTGTAGATATAGAGCCCACATTACCTAATGCACCATGAATGATTACAATTTTATACTGCTTTCTTTAAAATTGTGAACATTTATAAGAGTTTTTTTTACAATTTTATTTCAACACTGAATTTTCTAATTATAAGAAACATTTTTCAGTAGAATCGTCTTACAAAGTAACTAAAATATTAATATTTCATTCCGAAATAAATTTGGACTCATATTGTATTCTTTTTACGATAAAAGCTCTAAATAAACGAAAAAGTATAAATATACTATTTCAATTTCAACGTTATTATTAATTTTTCCATTTCATTACAACAATGAATGTGATAATTAATATTAAGTTATGTAAAATTTTATTGTAAAGCTAACGAGCTTTTGATCTAGACTTTAAAAGCAAAGCTTTTAACAGTAATGAGCAATTATTAAATTTCGATACAAACTAATTAATGTCAACAAGATATTTCTAAGAAAATATCTAAGATAGAGTCTGGATGATATTAATTTGTTCTCCAAATATAAAATGATATTATTTTAGGTCTACAGATAGGCTCCAATTAAAGTAAGAACAAAAGGAAGGTAAAAATAAAGACATCTATATATATATAATAAAATTGTAAGTAAGTCGAATCTGTACATTGAATATTTTTTGGAAAATCTTATTGAAATAAACATTATATATATAACACATTGGATATATAGGCCGAATCTTTAGTTTTTAGAATTTTTGTCTGTCTGTTACCGCATCACAAAAACATATAGGATACTTCTTACCGCGGAAAAAAGTCTCATTTCTGAGAAAAAAAAATACAAAACAATGTAAGAGTATACTAATATGTAAAACCTAAGAATTTGGTATTTGGTCATCTGAAAGCGGGCGGAGCCGCGGGCAATGCTAGTTTTTTTAATAAAATTATTATTATTTACAAGTAATAAGTTATCATTTATTTAAAGTATTGGCGACTCACTCTCGCTTAGCTCGGGTTCGTCCCTAGGCGATTCTTTAAATTGAAATAAAACATATACTAAATGTTACGTGAAGCTTACCAAAATACATTAATGAAAACTGCATTCAAATCGATTAAGCCGTTTCTGGGATAAGCGCGCACAAACGCACAGACAAACGGACAAAAAAAAAATTAAAAATCATCGTTTTAGGTTTTATTGCGTTATTGAAGACCCCTCAATAGTAGTTTCTCTTAAATATCTTCCTGTACATACAGCGATCAGTTACACTTTTATCCTACCCGAACCCCGAGGGTGAGTCGCTAGTATATAAATAAGATTCGAAACGCTAATAGTATATAATTTATCAAACCTATGTTATATTTAAAAAATTTGTACATTATGTAATAATTACATATTATGTAATAATTATACATATATATTTACATAATGAGGCACATAATAAAGGTAAAGCCATGTGATATCTCACAATAAACCATGGTACGATAATATTACATCTCTAAAATATCTTGATACGTTTAAGTAATTGGATTTAATTCTCATTCTGGCCTGAAACGATTGTGTACAAGCAGTCTAATTAAATAGAGGCACTAACGAAGTTATCTACGTGATAATATAATAAAAGTATACTAGCGAAAAATACAAGGTATTCGTGCTATGTCTTTTTTTAGGTTTTTAACTCGACACATATATTTAGTTCTTTTTTTAACGTTTGACCACTCATTACTTTTAACAGTGTAGTCCGATTTGGATGAGCTTTTTAGGGTTCCGTAGCTCAAAAGGTAAAAAAGGAACACTTATAAGATGACTCACTTGTCCGTCTGTTCGTCTGCCTGTCCGTGGGTCACCACCGATTTTTTTATTGGATAGGGTTTATATTAGTTGGTCTCATTAAAATTAATAAAAAACCACCCCTAAGTGTAGGAAATAGGGGATGATGTATTTTTCACCTACTGAGGTTTAAAAAAGCTTTCTTCTAACTTTTTTACTATGTCTACACTAAAATTATATTTGATTTAAGTTTTATTACTAAATGATGAAAATTATTCTAATGAAATTGATTTTTAGTTCCTTTTTTTATAATTGTATAAATAAAATAATATAATAAATCTAATGAAAGTATATTTATATCTATTTATTATCTAGAAGTATCTTTCAATACATTGTATTTTCGCTCTTACTTGGGGCTTAAACTGCTGCTTAAGCCCCAATTGTATGAGCGAAAATACAAAGCAGATCGTTCTACAATGGTTGAAAAATGCTGTGATATCATGTTATATATGCATAAGTTTACTGGTTTGTTAGTTTATCCGTCTCTATCAAATGAAGTAATGTAATTTAGTTTAGTTATGTAGGCAACTTTTTATCCCACTTTAGACTCGCTTTACTTAAAACAAAAGTATTTAAATTTGAAGGAATAGAACAAATCCGATAAATAATAAATTTAAAATCTCTTTGTTTCCTTTAAAAAGAGTTATCCACCGTTCTGTATTATAGAAATGAATGTATTCTATAATAATTCCAGCTAGAAGACTCGTTCAGATGTGAAGCATCAAGCGACGGATCCAATATGTGATGAGATTATGAACAGATTTGAATAGGTATATATATATATATACATATATATATATATATGTACATATATATGTATGTATGTATATAGCTACGGTTTATATTTCAAAGTTACGAGGAAAAACTAAACTATCTTGAGATTCAGGGTCTTAAATGGAATTTTCAAATACTTTTATAAATAAGATTTTTTATTTATTTTACTGAGATTAAATATATTAAAAAAGGTAGTGTGGCACTCATTTTATTTTATTCAAATGGCATAGATGAGCTTTTATTTTAGTGATATGACTAACCAATGTTCTACGATCTTTGAAATAAATATTTAAAAGCTTTTCATAATAATATTATTGTATATGTAAAAACTTACTAACTACTTTAATTTTAAACATATTTTAGTTTTAGGATCTTATTTACACGTAATTCATTGAAATTTGGCATTTCTATGTGCAAAATGCTTATGTAAAAATTATCAACTTATCAGATTTTGATATATAATCAATCATAAAGTGTATCAGGCTAAGAAAATACAAGTGTAAAGTCGGATGGGTCACTAGTTTAATTTATTATATTGCAAATTGTGAGTTATATTTTTTAAGTAAAATTCTTATATACATAGATATCAAGAATAAATAAATATATTATTATAAAAAAAATATATTTTAATTTTCTACACTTTCCATAGAAAAGCTTTATCACAAGCTTAGGAAAAACGACATTCTATATTGCCAATAGATAAGTAAATATGGAAATAGCGATATCGTTCGTATAAAATCGTTTTGTAAAGGGCGGAACATACATTAATATACATGGTACTTACGTAATACGTAAATTGAACTTTTGGTCAATTATTTCAATGTAAGAAATTAACTTGGTTTTAACATTTACAGGCTTTAATAAAGCTTATTGCCAACTTTTACTGTATAATATACTACTATATAATTTGGACATAAATTATATTATAGACTAGTGTCGTTAGATACGTTTTAACGTTTAGTATAGATTTCTTAGAAATGGGATATTTTCCCGCAATAAAAAGTATCCTATATTTGTTGACCCAGATAACCAGCTATCATCAGACCAAATTTCATCAAAATTCCTCTAGTGGTTTTTCCGTGATGCGGTAGCAGACAGACAGACAAACATTCTGAAAACTGTATCGATAATAATGTCTATTTCAATAAGTTTCCTAAAAACTATTTTGTACAGATTCGGCTTAGTTACAATTTTATTATATGTATAAATGAATTGAAGTACTCAAGTTTTATACACATAAAAAATCTATAGTATACGATTTTTTTCTACATATCAATATTTAAAATTTATTTATTGATAATATTATTGAAAACTCGCTAACTGAACAAAAAAAAAGAAAATCTGTTGATGACAGACGAGAAAAAGGTTTTGAACTGTTTGTCTTTGCCTATTTATATATAGATACTTTATACAAGAAAAGCTGTCTTATAAAAGATATTTATGGAGGCAGCTTAACTGTCTTTATCTATTAGCATTACAATATATGTAGATAAAGAGAATATTACATATAGAAAAGCTCAGTCGGTTAACTGAAACCTACTCGTGTGCTCTCAGTCAATGAACTTTTGCAGAATCTAATTTAAATAATACTAGAATTAAAAAAAGCTTTAATTTACATAAAATATACCACTAAGACATTTATAACTCTACTTATAAAATGTGTATTAAATATCTTAAGGGATTGTATAGAAGAAATTTATGTTATCCATAGAGTTTGATTCGTAATATTTTTGTGTGTTTGTAACGACTAAACTCAAAAACTACAGGACCGATTTAGATGAAATTTGGTTAGAAGATAGTTTGAAAAGACAGAATATTTTTTATTCCAGAAATCATCCCTTAAGGGGGTGAAAATGGGGATGAAAATGGGGGTGAAAATGGGAAACAACCTAAGGACGAACCCGAGCGAAGCGAGGGTGAGTCGCTAGTTATATAAAATTATAACATATATGAAAAATATGTTATAATTTATTTCAAACTATTATAAGTTTTTAGTTGATTTCTTTCATTTACATAATATTTTCTTTGGTACCTATCTTTCTCTTTGAAATATGTATACAAATCTTCTAACACTCGATTTTTTCAAGGGCATGATTGAGTTTAAAATAATTTAATGTGGTAGCAATAAGCTCGTCTGATGATGGTCTCTTTCTCAACAACTAAAAACAATCCCAGATTTAAAAAAAAACTTTTCAAAGCACAGATTCCGAGAAACTTCGTGTAACTCAAATTAAAATAACTTCATGCTTTAAGAATAAGCAAATTTCAAGTACAAATAAATTGTCACGTAGTAATTACTGCAAACAATGTTAGAATACATTTCGTTCTCTTGTTGAAAATTTAACGTAAATCTTTCACACACATACTCTTGTTTTAGAGCTTTTAATATAGAGAAGATATTTTAAAATATATTATGTGGTTCATAAATTTTGTTCAATGATAGCTTTTGTTAGTCCGAGCTCGTGTAATCCTAATTTAATGTTACTTTATTAAAATATAAAACCGCTTTTTAACGGGTTTCATTTTAGTACATTTTTGATTTTTAGTATAATTTAAGATGTGTTTTTTTATATTTTACGTTGTAACGCTTAGTACAGATTTCTCATAGATGAGATATTGTTCCGCAGTATAAAGTATCTTATAAATTGACCCGGATAACTAGCTATCATCATACTAAATTTCATCAAAATCTGTCCAGTGGTTTTCTCGTGATGCATTCCCAGACAGACAGATAAAAATTCTAAAAACTATAGATTCGGCCTCTGTATCGATAACAATGAATATTTCAATAAGATTTTCCAAAAAATATTTAATGTACAGATGCGACTCAGTTAGAATTTTATTACATTGTAGATATAAAATTATTGTCTGTGTAAATTAAACAATGATAAATTAGCGGCTTTATTTTATTCGGTGTTAGACTAGTGGACAATTCAAAAAAGTGAATTCGACTATAATCATTATTAAATATTTGAGAATAATATATATGAATAGAATAAAATTTACTAACCTATATACTCGTATAAAAAAACGAACTGTTTCAAAATTTGTTTTATGGAACATTAAAGCTCGATGACAGCTACTAAACAAAAAAAGGAAATAGATTGACAATCAGAAGAGAAAAATACACTGAATTATATGCCTATTTATATTTAGGAATTATTATATTTTTACTATTTTACTAGTCTGTGAGAAAGGTATACTCAAGTACATTCAAGTATTACGTAAGCAGAATTTTGATAAATATCAACCGCTCCCTCCCCCTAGTCAAAAGTAAGCAAAACCCTTACTCCCCCCTTCTATGCTTATGTAAACATTAAGATACAATTATTTTGAGGAATCCCCGATCATTTCTTTTCGCTTTCGAGTTTTCAAGTGGGGTTGTCATGTGTGTTCTAAAAACCTCTTTATCCCCCATGTCATAAAAACTAAGCAAATAAAGACCAGACTATCCACTCTCCCATCCTCCTTTGATGGTTACATAACAGTTGAATGGCCCCAAAGGCATGGATTTTCAAAAATTGGTTGCTAGTTTTACATATCAAGGTAGGTATTAAATGTTTCTGCCTGAACCAAGACATGAATTCGAAATCTTATAATTTGCAGCCGTTTGTAATGTAAATGTACCAAAAGGCAGTTACTATATTATATCTATATAATGATATATTGTAAAAAGAATATAAAATGAACAAAACAACCCATTTGTTAGAATAACTGGAACTTGCTTGAATCTCGATATGAGAGCATTTATCATGAAGCAGACTTGCTATTTGCAAAATATAAAACAAAGATTTTCAGAGCGGAGCTGGATTGTTCGACCATAAGTCAAAATGTCTTTGAGAAAAATGTATCGATTTTTAGAAAGATTTATAAGAATAGACCAGATATTTATAGGATAGGAAGTTCCGGAGATTGCTCCCTGCAATCCAACTCACAATGTTTTTGTTTTTACAAATTTAGCACAAGCTCAATTTCAATTTAATTCTTATGTTCAATGGCTTCTAGGAGTGCCGTATGGGCACAATTTTTCCAATGTCGCGTAGGATGAAGACGACACGTTATTATAGAATAGCCGGCATAAAATAGAAAAAAAAACACTAAATCTCGTTACAGGTAGAAATATTTACACACATGGCAATACATTTTTAAGCTTTCGTTAATTTAATTGTCAGCGAGTTGTAAAGTTTTGACATTGCGAATGACACTTTGACAACTTCCTCCAAGTTTCATATAAGGGTTATTTCCGGTATGGAAAGTATAGTTGTTTGTATTTCATTTTGTATTGAAAATCTTTTACAAAGTTGTATTGAAAAATTTCAAAGCTTATAGCTCCTTGTTAAAGTAACAAAGAATATCATTTAACTGGAAAAATTAAGCTCTTTTTGTAAGAGATAATATTATTAGGTACCACAAGTACATATATACATATAATATTATACATATATATTACATAACCTACTTCAATAGTAACTTCCGTGTTGTGCGCATATTATACTTGCATCAGGTAATATAAGACAATATTTAGTACTCATATATCTAAGCTATGCAGTTATAATAATAACTACTTTTTACCTTTAAAACTTAAAAAATCTTAATATGTATACCACCAATGATCTCAATTAATAAAAAAAAAAACATTTAAAAAAGTTCAAATTTTTTTTAGATATCGCGCAATATTCAAACGTACACTCGAATTGAGTGCCTCCTTTTTTCAAGTCAGTTAAAACTAACTTACTTGTATGCGATGGTTGTATCTATCTGCGATGATGTACTGGCCAATTCTGTTGACAGCGACCCCAGCGAGGCAATCAAATTCGCCTTCCCCACTCCCATATTGACCGAATTCTTTGACGAATATGCCGTTTGAATCGAACACCTGTGTACAAAAGAAACAAATATACTGAATAAAATTCGCAATCTCAAACAGTTTTATGCTATTTTTTTAAATATTACTTTAAATAATCTATTGTAGTCAAATATTTTTTAATAATAAAGTTTATATTTCTATATTTTACTATTACAAAATTCAATGGAAAATAGAAATAGATTTCTTTAAACTTGTTTAAGTTTTATACAAAAACAGTCAACATTAAAAAAAAATTATAATTTATAATGTAATCTATACTAATATTATAAAGAGGTTTGTGAGTTTGTGAGGTTGTAGGGGGTAATCTCTGGATCTACTGAACCGATTTAGATAAAATTTGGTAAAAAGATAGTTTGAGACCCTGGGAAGGACATAGGGTACTTTTTATCCCAGAAATCATCCTTTAAAAGGATGAAAATGGCGATGAAAAATTTGTATTGGGATGCGAACCCGAGCGAAACGAGGGTGAGTCGCTAGTATTTATATATAATAGACATGAATTGTTATATTTAAAACCATATTTGCTTATTTAGCCAAATTAACTACATACGTCGTTGACAGACGAAAGGTTTAAAGGTAAAACCAATTTTTTAGCAAACTTTTCAACTGTGATAGGAAATCGAAATGTGAGAAACATCTATAAAAACAGCTGACTTGGAGATGTATTTCATAGATAAAACAATAACGTAAATCAAATGAAACTGCTAGCGTAGTCTATAATATAACGTTCTCCAAATACATAATTTATGATGTCACATTCCTCTATTTTGCCAAACACTTGTTATCGGGAGGTGACTATTTCCCTACTTTATGAGAAGTTATTACTGGCTTTCATTTTCGACTGGAAAATTCGAAGGCAGTAAATAAGACTGAATGAATTTTTTGTTCGCAGCCGCATATTTGAAATATTTATATCTCCATACTCTAGATAGTACATAAAATTGATATGCTACGACTCACGCACCTTAAATTATGCATGTAGAGGAATAATTTATTTTTAAAGCATTGGCGTATCGTATATTAAACTTTTTTAGCTTTAGCAGGTGGTTTCGGTCAAAGGGATTACGTGCAAATTTCTATATGTGTGTATACATATCGTAGTTGCTTGTTTAGACTGGGTATATGTTTTCTCATACGAGATAGTAGTTTATGATGTAAAAAAGTATTCGTTTTACCTGTACTCGATGATTTGATGAATCAGCCACGACCATAATATTGTCGGGACCTACAGCGATGCCACGAGGCCATGTAAAACAACCGGGTTCGCTCCCCCGACTCCCCACACTGAATTGTAAACGGCGTTTCTGCAGATACTGGCTCCTAGGGGAGGAACCTGCTACTGCGAAACCTGTGACAAAAAATCATGTTAAATAATGAACCAATTCTTTTTGGATAGTTTCAAAAGCCTCAGACCTATGTACACGCCACTCGTATTCTAACCTGCTACCGCTGCTGTAGCCGCCGTAGGGGAGATGGGGGAGCCTGCCGCGTTTTTTGAATCGTCATCAGAACTGGCAAGCTCGTTAGCTGAGCGTAAAGGCAACCCGAGAGACAAGCGACGGGATGTGCTCGAAGATGTTCCGCTCGAATCGCGATCTTTCCCTCGCGAGCCGTACTTGTTTTTCAAGTACCTCGCCCAGGAACTTAAAGCCGCTCCGTCTTTCTCGCCGGCTACCGGGCGTTCAGGGGAGCTTTCTCTCGATTTAAGCGCGTGGGAAGATCGGCTACGAGACAACTCTGAACCTCCAGTGCCGGAGCCGTATCGAGCCGCAAGGTAAGCTGATGGCGATGCGGTTGTTGGGGAAACGGGATCATCTTGATCATCGTCGTCACCCCCTCCAAAACCTGAGTGACTGCTTTTACTCCTCGCGAGACGATTGCGACGTTCTTTTAAAGCAAGATATCTAGACCGAGCAGTGGGATACTTTGAATCATCATCAAGGGAAGATGTCAATTCGTCATCTTTTGGTTTGCTACCATAACGACTGTATGAAGAACCACTAGCGCCATATCGAGGGGTTGGCTCTTCTTCTGTTTGCGAGGACTGACGAGTGCGGTATCGCGATTGAGTAGGTGTTTCTTTATTTGATTTATTATCTACTGCATCACTTCTAGCGTTGCTACTTCTGGCTAAAAGAGGACCTATATCACTACGAGCCATCGCCTGACTCTCGGGCTTCCTTTGTGGAGCAGGCTCCTCTTCGCTCTCCTCTGATGAGTCGGTTTCCTCCTCAGAGCTCGTATCGGAGTCTTCGTGGGCCGGCTCGGCGGGCGCCGGGGCGGGTGTAGGTCGCTGTGATCCGACAAAGCGACTTTGAACCCGTTGTGCGCCGCCTCCTGTTCCATTCGTAGTCACCGGTGCTGGTCTTTCGTTGCCTGCGGAAAGAAAACGTGTGGTCGGTTTTTGTTGTGGCCCATCATTGCTATATTTTGCTTTCAATTCTGCGATAGTTAAAATCGCACCTGTGTGTTTTACCGCCGAGCCGGAACTTTCTGTAGAAGCACTTGATTCAGTGCTGGCTGCACGGGCTGCGGGACGGTGTACAGCGGTTGTATCAGAAGCTGATGGTCGTCTTGTAACCGTTGGCTTTGGTGTCGAAGCTGTATTCTTACGTTGAGTTCGTTGAAGAGATCCGACAGATTCATCAGATTCACCATCGCTGGATGCCTGAGAAATATACTGAAATTCGGTATTGACACCAAAAAGGCAGTCTAGTAAAGTTTGCTTTTGTGTTGTGTTTATGTGTGATTATCATGGAGTGTATTAGTGGAATGCCCTAGTTAGTTGTTGCGTTCCCATGTTAGTATCAATGATTAAATATTTATTTTATATTAAGTCGGTTTTTTTTAACACTCTCTGTCGTCTTCCCAACTCACCTCCCGAGCTGGTGTTGGTGGTTTGCGATTAACTGAACTTCGTTCTTCTTCTGCAGGTCGTTGAACTGGCCGATCTGGCTCCTGTGAAGAAGCTGCACCTTTATTTTGTCTTTTTAGGCGAGAAATTTCATCATCTTCACTTTGTTGTCGGGCTGGTGGTGGCGGCCGACGTTGTGGTTGAGGTGCAGGTTGTACTGGTTTCGGAGGTGGAGGAGGTTCTTTTTTTTCTTTTTTTTTACCACTATCTACGTCAAGTATTCTTTGCATTACACGAGGACAATCGCTTAATCTAAATATACCACTAAGAGGACCACGCGTGGCATCTTCTGTATCAGCCACTTTTTCTTTTTCCTTTTCTTTATGTTCAGATTTGACTGACCGAGTCGTTGTTTCAGTATCAGAATCATTATCTGCTTGATGACTTCTCACAAAGCGAGATCGGAATCTACGTGATGGTCTGTGTTCCGACTCATAACCGCTATAGTCATCAGTAGTACCATAATCTCTTGTATGTTTTTCTGGCGGTGGTGGTCGTCGTTCACCAAACTTGCGACCGCCTAGGATTGGTTCATCATTTTCCGTATATCCCTTAGCTTCCTCTTGTTGACGGAATTGCGTTGCTAAGCGATGGTCACTTTTCGATCTTGTCAATCCTTGCGATTGTTGTAATCCAGCTGAGTACGCGTTTGGATGTGTAATGTTTAGTTCTCCGTAACTAGCAACATGCATAACTAATTGATTCGGATCATGTGTCATTATAAATCGTATCCTACGGTTATAGTCACCAGCTTCATAATCAAAATTACGTAAAAATTCAACCGTTTTCAAGAATATTTCCTTGGTATCAACGAGTTCAGTATCCTCCCATTCAACATCATCGTTCATATACTTATCAGCGAGATCACAATTACTTTGAATATTACTTAGCTCTAATTCTAAATTATCCTTAAGATGAGTCAAGTTTCTAAGTTCAGTAGCTAAATAACGGTCTATTTCATTTCTTAAGAAATCAGTTCGATCTTTTAGAGCCTTAGCGAGCCTCTTATGAATTTCATCTACTTCCCCAGCTACTGCACCACAATTATTTTGTAAATTTGCAGTATTTCGCTCTACGACTGCTAAAATATCTTGTAACCTATTTACACCTCGTCGTATTTGATTATTAATTCTTGCTATTTCTCTGCGAAGTACTTCCATATGTGCAGATTTACAGTCTTCGCAGACTTTCTTTTCACAATGGGCACAAGGCGCGCAATATGCTTTTTCTGAGCAAACATTGCATCTTTCCATAACCTGCCCAGCTGTGGGATCTGGTAATTCACCAGCAATTTGAGCATGTAGCTCTAAAAACCTTTGTAAAGTTACATTTGTAGGAAAGCCTTGTACCCCTTGATAAGGGATTCGATGCTCTGCTCGACATTCTGGACATTTAACCTGTAATAAAAATAACGATAGAAATTTCAAAGTTTTATGTTTAGAGTTATTTGAAAAGCAATCATAAATTTGTAAAGTTATTCGTATTTATCAGTTTCAAATACCTGTCGCCTGACATAGTCGACAAGGCCGTCCATACATGGTTCCATACAGAAACTGTGCTGACATGGTAGCAGCTTTGGATTTCTGTACCGGTCCAAGCAGACGCAGCACGTCAGCAGTGACTCAAACTGCTCCATTTTTTGTTTAGCCCCACACTACGTATCTGAAATAGATAAATACAAAATTGATTACTATTTTCTTAACATGAAATTTTTTTAATTAAAAGTATCTTTTCGGATTATTTATTTTATTTGGTTCTCGACGTTTCGAATGTTTTACAGCAATCATGGTCACGGGAGAGACTAAGGTTTTAGACGTCTCAAAGGCGTTATACACTTGTGACAGACAGTGCCTAGACACTAATTTACAAAAATGATTTCAAAAAATTCAAAAATGACATCATAATACCTTACAATATTTGTTGATTTTATTTCTAAACATTTTTTTATTAAGTATTATAATTAAATATAGCAATAATCTATTTTTTTTATTAAATATTAAATAAAAATAAATATTTATTTAATATTTATTTTTATTAAGAAAGTAATATGGTGTAGAACATGTTACGTCAGAGGCAATGTTACCATATTGGTATCTACGAGTACATATTTGTATCTACATATAGTGCATAATGATACCTTTAGCAGTCTTTAATTAGTGCAAGTTTAACAATATTAACAAAATAACAACAATGCAACGTATTCATCTAAAACCATCTAGTATCTAGATACCTTGAGCACGGCGTGTGATGATATCCCAAGGTAGGTGGTATTTAAACTGCTTAAAGTATTCTATTTTAAATAAAAGATTGTTATATTTCCAACCGTTATTGTATTTTTATGTTAATATGTTGATATAAACGAGTAATTAAAAATATATTCACGTTGTTATATTGAAATGTAATATGTACTTGAAAAAGGTTAAAATGAAACCGTGTCTATAAAAATCATAATGGTTGAACCTTATACTTCGTTAAAATATTCGTTAGCAAGCTATACTGTTTATTTTCATTGTATTTTCAGTGATGAAATGCTGATGATGAGATTTAATTTAAAATTGATCTAAGCTAATTTAAAAATACAATTTCACATACACAATTTTTAAAGGTCTATATAAATTCCCACTTCTATGATATCTATAACTAATATGATCATGATACTGTTAAAAGAAAAATATATTTGATAGAAATTAATATTTCCAGCCTCAATAATCAATGCAGTATACGAAAATATTCCAAAAAATATTTGGGTTTCTTCTTCACCTCAGTCTTCGACAATTCTTACAAAAAATCCAGTTCTATTTATTGCATGGCAGCTTAACTAAACTTGTATGTAGTACATTGCCTTGCAACATTATATAAGCTCGATACATCTAACTGTCCCACTAGTTCAACAATATGGTCAGTAGGATTTCAGTCACGTTTAATTTTAGCGTTTGCACGATATGTAGAGATCCGGCACCATTTAAAAATAGCAAACGTCTGGCGTTTCACACGGCTTTCATTTACATTTTAGAAGCAGCGGGCCTGAATATTACGTGGGCTGTTCTTTTCAAAACACTACGTAGCATAAAGTTTTTTGCATCTACGTCTCCATAATATACATCTATTGAAGCGTAATCGGTATATTTAGGTTTATCGTCAATGAATGTTTTGGAATTCGAAATAATCTGGAATTTGTGTCTAATATTATATTGCCAGCTGTCACCTTGAATGTTTTATTGTTTTTTAATTACAGTGAGCCTAAGCTGTTTGCTTTGTAAATACTCGTATATAAGTGGCTTGGTAATTTTGTTTATTTATAATTATAATAGAATGTTAAAGTCGTGGTCTGTATATTATATACTGATATACATAAATTATGTTTTGATGTGTGTGTGTCTGCATGTTTGTTACACTTTCATATTCAAGCAGCTCGATGAATTTAGATGAATAGTTTACAGATAGATTATAAAGGCAAATATTAGTAAAAAAATTGCAAAAATTGGTGCTACCTGTATATAATATTGTATATAAAAAAGGCTCTGGTGCCTTGTGGCCCTGATGAAAAGTGAGAGGCAGTCGCTTTTGTGAATAATTATTACAAGATATTGCACAATTTTTGAACTATTTTTAAATATGACAAGTCTAGTTGTTAATTACCTTTTTTTACAACGATATATGTACGTCATTTTGGCACAGAAAGAAATGAATCATAAGTTATACCAAATCTCACAAAAATAGTCAAATACAAATGGATAAATTTTATGTACATACATATTTTATACAGTTTATGATATAGACTATTTCCCAATAGGTAAGAAATGGGTGAAAATTGGTATTTAGCCTATCTCTCAACTTAAACCTAAATAAATAATAATTTATATAGAAAATTATAATTAAGAATAATTTATTGTACCAATAATTAATATAGTACCAGCGGACAATCAAGACGTTTCTAACGTAATCTAATTATTCAAAGTATGATTGGTAAAATGTCTAAAAAGATATGAACATACATACATACATAGCATGGTGAAATCATAACCCTTCTGCTTGGCTTTGCCGTAGTCGGTGAAAAATATTAATATATCGCACTCTATAGTAATATATTTTTATTAAGTACATATTGATTATTCTAATGTTAATGAGAATAATTGAGATAGGGTGTAGAATTAAAATTATCTTTTTGGACTCCTTGTATGTTTGTATATTCACTCCTTAAACGGCGACATATTATATATTATATATTGTGTAAAATTTGTATATTTTATAAAATAGAACTTATAATTGGGTATATAAAATTAAGATATGCTCGTTCCCATGTTTTCTACCAAATAGCAAATTTTTTTTACATGTATTTTTAAATAAATAATTATATGTTGTTATAATATATTTTTTTTCCGAAACTTCCCGAAAATGCGATTCGTTTGAATCAGGATTAATTTTATTACGGATCGACTACGTATCTCCTGTTTATTATCCAAAGATACGTCAGAGTTATTTTAAACGTGGTTGGCAGAATTTTTGATGTGCTTCTTCGTATTTGGCTCAGCGAAAAGGAACACGTATTTTTTTTATTACGCATTTTTTTTATAATGTATGAATGTACTTTTCAAGGTGAAGATTGCTAGGTCATCTTTTGATTAGAATAAATAATTATATTTTTTCGACTTATACGTCATGGTTAAGTGCGCTTATAAAATTTATAATAAAAAGGCTAACTTCCAAGTAGATAAAAATAATAATATTTTTTTTGTGAAGGTGTTTTAATAATATGAATTATCAATATAAATAGTATTATAATCGGGTAGTAAAACAGTTTAAAATTATTTGATTATATTTTTTAATACGAGTAATTGGTGTTTTGGTAATTCTCTAGTTAGAAAACAATGTTAGAAATTTTTTTTTAGTCTTTTGTCACGTTGTGTGCATTGCGCTTGAACGAAGAAACGAAGAAATCGAAGATGCATTAAAAGCCAAATTCTTTTAATTTTTTTTAATATTAAACAAATCCATAGCCAATTGGGTTAATATTAAAAAAGAAAAAAGTCCAAACTTTATAAAGGAATTAAATTGATCTGCTAACTTCATACTTGTTATGGCTTTTCTGGTATTTTCTGAAAGAGCTTTTATCAATAATTTTATGAATATAAACATAGCTTCTATGATGTCTCAATAGAATATTTAAAGTTGCAACAACTTAAATTATGTCCGCAAAGTATTTTTTTTTTTAATGAAAATTCATATCATGGGTCACGGGTACGATATACAATGGATACGAGATTAATACGTTTCGTATTTGACGACAAAACAATGATTGAAAAATATAAACCTTCACACAAATAATTCATAATATCCATCGATCAAAAAAGTAAGATACATAATCAGCGACAAAAAATGTCCTCATCGAACGAGCGCTCATTTAAACATTTGAGCGCGCTTTTAATTTTTTTTGTGAAAACAACTTTAAGTTTTGCATTGAAGACTCAATTTACATTGTTGTATATTTATTTTAATTAGTATTTAAACACAATTGGTGACAGTTTTAAAAGAACTTTTGTATGGGATTGTGTATCTACTAGATACTATCTAGTTCTTTTTGGAACGATGATAATATCACGTTATACCTTAAATATTGTTTTGTTAGCTAGCAAATTACATTCTTCAAACAAAAAACTTCAGCAACAAAAACCTGTAATTTAAATATATTAGATCTATTACGGCTACTCCATTTTTTCATTCATGGCTTACGAAGAAAAAGCTTGGTAATCCTAGCTTTTACAGAATTACGACTGCCATATTTACATAATATTTCAAATAAATTTGTTTCTCTTAGAACCACAGTGTTTGCATCAGACATTTAATTTTAGAGCGCTGTTATCTAGGTTTCTTTACCAAATATCCGGTTAATTTAAGTTAGGAAACAGTGTTTATAGTTTACTTAATATTTAGAATATATATATATATATATATATATATATATATATCTTGAAAAACTTGTTTAACCAGCGGCATTCGCGTAGTATCTTAATACAAAGTATTGTAGATATTACTCTAAGATGCAAGATGTCGAGTAGGTATTAGTAGGATTATTTTATAACCAGCACTTTGTATACAGGATTGTATAATATAGACATCAATATTTATAATTTATTTCTTCTATTATCTATACTAATATTATAAAGATGCAGAGTTTATTTGTTTGAACGCGCTAATCTCAGAAACTACTAATCTGATTTCAAAAATTATTTTTGCATTAAATAGCCCGTTTATTATGGAAGGCTCTATCTAGGCTATATGTCATCATGCTACTGACCAAGGGAGCGGATCAGTAATCATAAATGTCAACAAATTAGGTAAAGGTCTAGGGATGAACCCGACTGAAACGCGGGTGAGTCGATATTTAAAGATATATTTAATAAGAATTACAATCTTTCCAAACCAAGATACTGGTCATAAAAACGCTGATGGTCTTAACTTGGAAAAAAACCTCAATGCTGCTACTTTATCCAAGTGTACAAAATGTATTTTGATTCAATTTAATGTTTAAGCAACTCGGTAACGATATGGTCGAGCTGCTTTCTAGCTATGATGAGACAAAGATATGCAGTGAGATGAATAAAACATACATACGTCATACGTGTGCAAGGTCTTCTA